TCTCCCGAATCCGGGGAGCTCGTTCCATACGACCGTGGAATGGAGCAAAGTGGGGGGCTGGGGGGGCGGAGGAAGAAACAAAACTGCGGCTACGCAAACCTCAATCCACCACCCCCCCACCACCACCACCACTGCAACATCTCTCGATGACAAATACAAATCGACAGTTAGAAGGGTAAAAAAAAAACAATCATCATATTTTTACTGGCAAATGAGGTTCCCATAGTGTAGATGCTTGCCCCGAGCTCTCATACTCTGATGGTGCATTGTCTTTGAGTTGTGCGCCTTTTGGCGTCATCTGGTCCAACACCATGTGAGACTAGGCTCTAAGGAAAGCTGTCTCGGGTGTGGACCAATCAACTTCAAGGACAGTGCATACATTATCAGAGTTATGTCTTTTGTTTGTATTATGACTGCAGGTATTGCGGTCTATGCCAACGTGACTCCTTGTAAAAAAAGGTGTCAGTTTTGTTGCCAGATAGAAGGGTAAAAAAACAATTATCAAACTGGCGGAAGTTGGAAATCGGTCGTAAAAGAACCAGCGAGGTGGCGACGCGCGCGGGCTCGTGACGGCCACGAGGAGCCAACGCCTCGGAAAAAAAACACCACGCGGCGAAAATGGCGTCAAAATCTCCTCTGACGTCACAGTCGCACAATAAATAAATAATAACGACTCGACCCCCCACCCCCGGGGAGCCCCCCCCCACCCTCACTCACTCGCTCCACCGATGGGCTATGACGATGGGCTATGATGATGAGCTATGACGATGGGCTATGAGGATGGGCTATGAGGATGGGCTATGGCGATGGGCTATGAGGATGGGCTATGACGATGCGCTATGGTGATGGGCTATGAGGATGGGCTATGGTGATGGGCTATGGTGATGGGCTATGAGGATGGGCTATGGTGATGGGCTATGGCGATGGGCAATGAGGATGGGCTATGAGGATGGGCTATGAGGATGGGCTATGAGGATGGGCTATGATGATGGGCAATGAGGATGGGCTATGATGATGGGCAATGAGGATGGGCTATGAGGATGGGCTATGATGATGGGCTATGATGGGCTATGAGGATGGGCTATGAGGATGGGCTATGGTGATGGGTTATGGTGATGGGCTATGATGATGGGCTATGATGATGGGCAATGAGGATGGGCTATGAGGATGGGCTATGAAGATGGGCTATGGTGATGGGCTATGATGATGGGCAATGAGGATGGGCTATGATGATGGGCTATGGTGATGGGCTATGGTGATGGGCTATGAGGATGGGCTATGGTGATGGGCAATGACGATTGGCAATGAGGATGGGCTATAGCGATGGGCTATGAGGATGGACTATGATGATGGGATATGAGGATGGGCTATGGTGATGGGCAATGAGGATGGGCTATGAGGATGGGCTATGAGGATGGGCTATAGCGATGGGCTATGGGGATGCGCCGGCATTTCTCCCAACGACGAGTCCCCAAGTGGCTCTCTTATCCAAAGGGGCGCCGGTTTCATTTTCTTCTGCCGAGTGAGTCTCGAGTGAGTCTCGAGATCGTCCCTGAGTTGGGGGGGGGGCGGTCCTAACAAACTTAAAATAAAATAACCGACGCGCAAAATCGGCGAGAGTGCAGAAGGGAAGGTTTGGGGGGTGTGAGTCGTAGCGGCTCAAGTCCACGCAGAGTCTCTCTCTCATGTCAGTGCATCGACATCTTCACCGTCGTCGTCACCGCAGTCGTCACCCACACGATGCAGACGCTTTTGGCGTCGTGGATCCGTACGCTTTTAAAAATAAGTTAATTAACTATTAAGGCAAGAATACGAAAATAATAAAAAGAGAGGCAGCAACGCCGAGGCGACTTCGTTGCGTGCCGGAACTCGAACCACCCGCACCGACGGGTAAGGCTTTGAACTCGCGAACCTTTCACGATGGTGGTGGTGATGGTGGTGGGGGTGGTGGTGGCGGGGGTGGTGGTGGTGATGGCGGTGGGGGTGGTGGTGTGGGTGGTGGTGGTGATGGGGGGAGGGGGTGGTGATGGTGGAGGTGGTCGTGGAGGTGGTGGTGGCAACTCTGGGAGCGAGCCGATCGGGGGGGGTGGGGGGGGGGGTAGCGTCTCCGCCGTGACCTCTCGTGGGGCCTCTTCTCGCTCCGCAAACCAATTTTTTTTTATCTTTTTTGAAAAATATTTTTTTATCTTTTTTTCGCACGCGGATTTCGTTTCGCGGCATTTTCATTTGGCCGCCAAAATTCCTGCGACCCCTGCGACGGAAACGCACACCGCTCGCAAGGCGGCACGCGCCGGGGTCGGTTTGTGCTTTGGCTTTGGGTTTTTCTTTTTTACGCCATCACGCGCACCGCCACCACCACCACCACCACTGCTACTACCACCACCTCCGCAACGTCCAAGCACCGTCCAGCATAGGAGCTGCTATCAATGTCCACGTGATGATAAGGCACTTCACCATTGGAACCTCATTTGGCAGTGAAAAATATGATAATTGTTTTTTTACCCTTCTATCTGGCAACAAAACTGACACCTTTTTTTACAAGGAGTAATGTTTGCATAGACCACAATACCTGCAGCCGTAATGCAAACAAAAAACATAACTCTGATAATGGTGCGCCTTTTGGCGTCATCTGGTCCAACACATGTGAGACGAGGCTCTAAGGAAAGCTGTCTCGGGTGTGGACCAATCAACTTCAAGGACAGTGCATACATTATCAGAGTTGTGTTATTACGACTGCAGTTATTGTGGTCTATGCAAACATGACTTCTTGTAAAAAAAAGGTGTCAGTTTTGTTGCCAGATAGAAGGGTAAAAAAACAATTATGATAAGGCACTTCGTTGAGCAGCTCGGTAGGGCCTGACCTGGTCAAATAAAAACGAACATTTTCAATACAATAGTTATTGCTCTGGAATACCAACACGGCCGAGCGGCCGAGAACACAATCTCACGGTGCGTCGCCTACACCCCAACTCGCTAGGATGGTGACCTCGGCGGCTCCGAACGAAACCAAAAGGGGCAGCAGCTTCCCACGCCGATCGGCAAAGTGGCGGGGAGGGAGACAACGCGCGCTCGTCCCGTGCGGCCGTCAACGCGTGGCCGCGTGGCCTTGAAACGTGGCCGCGTTTTCGCGACACGCTGCTCGCAAAACGCTGCCGTTCTGCGCTGGGTTTGCGTGCGGCGTGGGGGGACGGTGCCGTGGTGGGGGGGGTGGGGGGGTGGCGGTTAATTGGTCGGTGCGAATACGCGACGGGCTGGGGCGCGCCATGCCACGCCGCCGGTCTGCCGGTTTGTTAGTGGAGAGAAGAATGGGGGCTGATTGAACTACCGATTGCAGCACGCCACCACGGGCCTCGCTAAAGCAACAGCATCGGCACGTTTCGCTGGTTTTTTTTGGGAGGTGGGACGGGGGGAGGGGGAGGTTTGTTTCTTGAACCCCGCGGTTGCCCCCGACGCAGCAAGACTACGGCGCGGGCCGTTGGCCGTTCTCGGAGCGACGCTAAGGAACGCGTGGAGGTGAGCGGGAGGTGAGCGGGAGGTGAGCGGGAGGTGAGTGGGAGGTGATCGAGAAGTGAGTGGGAGGTGAGTGGGAGGTGATTGGGAGGTGATTGGGAGGTGAGCGGGAGGTGAGTGGGAGGTGAGCGGGAGGTGAGCGGGAGGTGAGCGGGAGGTGATCGGGAGGTGAGCGGGAGGTGAGCGGGAGGTGATCGGGAGGTGATCGGGAGGTGAGCGGGAGGTGAGCGGGAGGTGAGCGGTGAGGCAGCTCGGGGAAGACCTCTCTGTCGCGTGAGTCCGAGTCCTCATCTCCCGGTCGCCCAGTCGCGCACCCCCCGGAGCCTCTCGCGCCGGGCGCAGTATTGTGTTCGCCGAGCCCTCGTGTTGATTCACCGGTCATACGTGAGCGGAACGACTTCCTGCGCCGTTGCGCCTCGCGATGCGTTTGGCCTCCGCTCAACCCATCCCCGCGGCTCCCCTCCCCCCCCGTCACCAACAGCCACCTCTAACCTCCTGCCCTCGTTCGACCGAGGCTACCCAGATACGTCCCCCGGTTTGGCGGGGATGGCCCCGGTGCTTTCATGGGTCTTCCCTTCCAACCGGCACGCCCCGGACGTGCCATCCGCACAAAGTTCCCGGTCCACTGACAAAGCGTGCGAACGAATCGCGTGGGCACGAACGCTGTTGTGCGTGCGAGTGGAGAGCGGTGGTGTGTAGCGGTTAGCGCTACGCTGCGTTACGAACCGAGTTCGATTCCCGCTCACGGCCAACATCGGTGACGAATGTCTGAACCGATCCTGGGCCTCCTCTAGGTCGACTCGGCCTCATAATGAGTACCTGGTGCGGTGTGTAGTAAACATCGCCACTGGGGAGACAAAGGCGGCCGGGTCGTGGTGCTGGCCACCCACCCCCTCGCCTGCCGTGCCGGCCTTCGTAGGTGCTACTCGCGAACAGCACTTGCCCCAAAAAGTCTGCTTGGGCTACACGGGGTATAACTTTGTGTGTGCGTGGATGCAGCGGAGCAAGTAGGGCAGTCTGCAAATCCGTGCCTCGGAGCCTGCGAGTACGAACTGTAAGATCCATGGCGGCTGGGATTCATTTGACGGGAATAGCGATCGAACGTCAACTGAGTCACTCCGCTGAAATACAAAATAGCAATTCTCATGAATCCAAAGTGGTCGCTGCGTCCCGAGTCGATCGGCGGCCATTGCGTTCGTTCGCCCGTCCCGTCGAGATGTGGGATTCTGTTTGCTCGTTTGTTCGCGTGTTCATGTTCGTTGTCCTACCCCCCCCCCCCCCCGACCCGCACCTCCGAATAGCACGGTTGGCCACGCGCAGCGCGAAAGAAGTTCAAACGTCTTCTTGGTTCTTTCGGTAAAGTCGTCACGTAGAAGGGAAATAATAAAAAAATAAAACATAATAAAATAATTCTCACGACGTTTCGGCCACAACGCAAGCAGCCGTCCTCAGGTGAAGAACAGGTCTGTCGGAAAGACAGCGTCTGAAGATAGCGTCCATTATTCTGTTTTATTTTTATTATTTCCCTTCTACGTGACTTTACCGAAAGAAGCAAGAAGATGAATCCCTGCAGTCACGAAAGCTTTAAATCGAAAACTTCAAACATACGTACGCTTTGGGCAAAACGTTACAAAAGGGTCGCCGTCCGACGCGCCAAACGACCGTTCGAGAGACGGCGCGGGCCGTGAAGCCCCCAGGGGAAAGGCCGCGACGAGATGACGGCACAGCCGGGAAAACTTTAAAATAAACATCGGCGCTTTGTCAAAACTGCACAAAAACAACTCACGACGGAAAAAATTGACGACGAGTAAAAGCCGGTACCCCACGTAACTATGGTATCAAATATAATTTTTGCAAAGTGAAGAAACACGTATATATATTTATATTATAAAATCTAAATTTGCTCTCGCCTGGCTGAATAAAGGACGCGCGAACTGAGAATTCCGGTAAAATATTGGAACTTGTACCCCAGGAATCCGGTGACGCAGACTCGCGGCCTGCGTTTAAAGCGTCCGGCGCAGGTCCCGACACGGTTACTCTTCCAGTTGTCCAAATGCGGTTTTTGCAGAACCTTCACAGAGTCTCATCCGATAAAATAAAAAAATAAAAAAAAAATTGGATTTGCACGCAATATTGTGCCCATCAAAACTGTGCCACGTCTCCCCGACGTGAAAAGACTACCAGCCAACAGCATCCCTCTCCAGGCAACGCAACGGCGCACCTTGATGACAAATTATATTAAATGTAACCGCACGCACGTACGCACGCACGTACGCACGATGGCCTTTTGTTTGGCAGTTGTTTCAACCGAACCTCATCATCATCATCACCACCATCACCATCACCACCGACATCACTCAGCGCCGGCATTTATCCCATGGCGGTCAGCATATTGCCGGAGGGGTGCGGGCGTAGAGGCTGCTGCTGATGATGCTGGTAGTGTTGAAACTGCTGCTGCTGCTGGTGCTGCTGCTGGTGCTGAACGGACAGCGCCACGCCATCCGGAGGGAGGTACGTGAGCGTCGCTCCGCCGGCTATGCCGTGCGGCACCGCCAACGCCAACGACGCCGGGGAGAGCAGCCGGTGCTGCTGCTGCTGCTGGTGGTGCTGCTGGTGCTGATGGTGCTGGTGGTGCTGGTGGTGGTGGTGGCTACCCAGGAGGTGCGGGGGCAGCGCGGAGGCCGTGAGGGCGGCGTGGAAGAAGGGAGGCCGCCGTAGCGCCGCGTCCGAGGCTTCGTCGCTGGCGGCGGCCCGGCCCTTCCGAGGCCGCCGGCGGGCCTTGCCGCCCGTCGAGTTCTTGCGGTTGCGCGTTTGGATGGCCTCCTTCTTCATGGCGATTGGGCGGTTCACCTGCCGGAGGTGCGCGCCAGAGGAAGAGACGATTGTATCAGATCAGTCGGTAGGTCAGTCGGTAGGTCAATAGATCGGTCGGTGGGGGGTGGTGGGGGGTGGTGGGTGGTGGGGGGTAGTGATGGGGGGTAGTGATGGGGGGTGGGGGGTGGGGGCGACTCTCAAAGTCAATAACAGTATTGAAAATAACAATAATAATGCTTTACAATATAACAAAAACAAATATTTATGAATTTGAATGCAACATATTGCTTGCAAAGTCGGTGCACGTGGTCAACAAAAGCGTCAATATCGGCAGCCTCCTCCCCCACCTACCGGCGTCGCGAGGCATGGGCCCCAAAACAACCCCCACCACAAACGGGAAGCCTTCACCCACCAGCTGATTCACAACGCCGAGGTCCAATTCGGTGACGAGCGCACGACCGTGCACGCCGCGACGACCCCTGATGCCTGCCCCTTGCCCCGATTAACACGCTTGGCTACGTACGGTGCGAAAGAAGCACACGCGCACGCGTGTATTCCTGCTCCGTCATCGCAACGCTCTCTCCGTGGCTACGACTCGCCCCCCGATCCGCCAAATCCGTTCTCTCCCCGTCAAACGCCGCCTCCTCTCGTCTATTCTGCTCGCCCCCCCCCCCCCGCGCCCCCCCCCAATCTCCTCCGTCGAATTCATCCACACCATTGTTCACTCCCTGCCAAGGCGCCTGGGGGGGTCAAGGCTCCTCGTATACATTTCATTTCGATAACGTGAAAGATTTCTTCACGGCTAATACTGAACGGTCGGATCCACCTCCTCCCCCCCCTCCCCCCGATTAGGGCCACCGCTCACGATACCCGCCCCCCCCCCCCAAAAAAAAATTAAACGAAACGACGCAAATTATAATTTCACTTCCACCAACGTCCCGATTCAGGGTTGCGATCGCCCCCCCCCCCCCATCACTCAAAAATCGATTCCCCGGTGTTTCTTTTTTTCTCATTTCACCGCCTACTTTGTAGCGTTTCGTTGTTTGCCTTCATTCCGATCTCGAGCGTGCACAGAGACGTTTCTCTCCACGACTCTACAGCGAGCACTGCTGCGCACGCAATTTCCATCACCTTTGCATTTCCCGTAAACTGGGGGCGGCGCGCGGAAACGGTGAGCCTGCCCACCCCGAGATCAATTTTCGTTCACGCTACGAACACCAAGGTCTTGAACTGTTACAACCTCGCATCACGATACACTATACACTACGCTATACTACCATGCATTATACTGGTATACACTATGCTACTACACGCTACGCGAAACTACTATACACTACACTGATATACACTACACCACATTACACTATACACTACACTAGTTTCCACTATACTATACACTACACCACACTACACTATACACCAAGCTATCATACACTACACTATACACTACACTAGTTTCCAGCATACTATACACTACACTACTATACACTACGCTACTACTATACACTATGCGAAACTGCTATACACTACACTGATATACACTACACCACACTACACTATACACCAAGCTATCATACACTACACTATACACTACACTAGTTTCCAGCATACTATACACTACACTACTATACACTACACTACTACACACTACACTGCTATAACTACACTATTAAACACCACACCATACTATACACTACACTGCCAAAATTGTCGCGTTATGAATTTCATCATCATCATCATCATGTGTGTTGAACTTCTTTCGCACCGTACGTAGCCAACCGCGCTAATCGGACGTGCGGAGGGGGGGGGGACAACGAACGAGACGCGCAGAAAAAGCCGAAGTGAGATTTCCATCTCGACGATTGAAAGGTGCACGGCTCCCCGGTGGGTTCCTCATCAAAGATCGGAGTTGACCCAGATCTGAACCAAGTCCTCCCCGCCAAACTTCTCCCGCAACCCCCCACTGACCAGCGGGCAGAGGTCGCAATCGAGTACCCGATACCCGTACCCTACCCGATACCCGGCTACCCAGACCCGGCCGGGTACGGGTACCCGTTTGCGACCCTGGTGCGGCCGGGTACCGGTACGGGTAGGCCGTGAGTCGCTGTAGAGTCACCGTTTGTCACTCATTTCCCAACGTCTTGTCTCTTCTCACAATTCAAGATCCTAGAATCAACCCACCCGCGCCTACAACATGGCTTCATCCCAGAGGTCGCAATCGGGTACCCGATACCCGTACCCTACCCGATACCCGGCCGGGTACGGGTAGGGTACGGGTACGGCCGGGTACGGGTACCCGTTTGCGACCCTGGTGCGGCCGGGTACGGGTACGAGTAAGGAATCAAAACCCGTTTGCGACCTCTGCCAGCGGGGTGAAGTATGGAGGAGAATCGCCACACGCCGCGTGCATTCCTTGTACGCGCAGACACGCACACGCGCGCGTGCCTGCGCGTGTGCGCGCGCGTGCAGGGAGCGGTGGCGATGCGGTTAGGCGCACTACAGCGTGAACCCACCAAACCCAGTTTGTTTACTGTCCACGCCCATTGACCGCGGGGAATATTTTGACCCGTCCCGGGGCCTTACCCCCCAAAAAAGTCGATCCGACCTCAAACGAGTACGTGTGTAAAACATCGCCACTGGGGAGACAAAGGCGGCCGGGCGTGGTGCTGGCCTCGTGCGCCGTGCCAGCCTTCAGAGGTACTCACTAACAGCACTTGCCCCAATACTGTCATTGGCTATATGGGGGGGGGGGGGGGATCTTTGGCTTTGTACCAAGCGTGCGTGTGTGTGTGCGCGTGCGTCCGTGTGTATGTTCGTGGGCGTGTGTGCGTGCGCGTGTGTGTACATGTGTGCGCGTGCGTCCGTGTGTATGTTCGTGTTCGTGGGTGTGTGTGCGTGCGCGTGTGTGTACGTGTGTGTGTGCGTCCGTGTGTGTATGTGCGTGTGCCCGTGCGTGCGTGGCAGTGTGCGTTTCCGTAGCCTACCCAATACCGAACTCGACACGAAACGCACTTTTCACCCCCCCCACCCACTACTTTGCATCGGTTCAACCGAGGTGAAAACACCTGAACCCCCCCCACCACCACCCCCATCCCTCTACACCGCCCCCTCACTTCGCCTTGACCGAGCGGGAACATGTTTTTGGGACGTCTGGCCATACTTCACCACGCCGGTCGCTGCTGGGCGGGTGGGGAGGGGGCAGGGTGTCCGGGGTGTGACGAGGTGGGGAGCGGTGGCGCAAGTTTCTCAAACCCCTCCGCAGAGAGGGCCCATGTTGACACGGCCGCTGGTACCGGCAAGTCCGTTCAGCTCCAAACCAAAGATAAAGATCCTTGCTCATGGCCTTCGACTGTTGGGGCAAGTGCTGCTAGCGAGCGGCGCCGGTGAAGGCCGGCACTGCGGCACGCGCGGGGGGGGGGGGGGGTCGTTTGAGGCCGAGTCGACCTAGGGGAGACCCAGGCCCGGTTCAGATAATCGTCACCGGGGTGTTTCGTCGCGAGCGGGAATCAAACCGGGGGGACGTCGGGCTCGTAGCAGCGCGACGCGCTGGCCGCTACACACACGCACGCACACATGCGCACACGCACACACGCTCACACACACACACGCACACACACACACGCACACACACACACACGCACGCGCACACACACACGCACACACACTCACACACACACACGCTCACACACACGCACACACACACACGCACACACGCGCACGCGCACACGTGCACACGCACACACACGCACGCGCACACACACACGCTCACACGCGCACACACACACGTTGTGCAGCTTGAAGTAGAGGCCGCACGCGTTGCACACACGCACACACACACACGCTCACACACGCACACACACACGCTCACACACTCACGTTGTGCAGCTTGAAGTAGAGGCCGCACGCGTTGCACACGGGCTCGCCGCTGCCGTTGCGCCTCCACAGGGTCGTGGTGGCGGTTTGGCAGTTGGCGCAGGTGGTGGACGGCCGCGAGCTGCTCGCCTGCGACCACGTGGCGGCAGAGGAAGAACAATCAGGCGCACGCACGAGGCACGCAAGGCACGCATGAGACACAAGGCACGGCACGCACGAGGCACGCACGAGGCACGCATGAGACACAAGGCACGGCACGCACGAGGCACGCACGAGGCACAAGGCACGGCACGCACGAGGCACGCAAGGCACGCATGAGACACAAGGCACGGCACGCACGAGGCACGCACGAGGCACGCATGAGACACAAGGCACGGCACGCACGAGGCACGCAAGGCACGCATGAGACACAAGGCACGGCACGCACGGCACGCACGAGGCACGCATGGCACGCATGAGACACAAGGCACGGCACGCACGAGGCACGCACGAGGCACAAGGCACGGCACGCACGAGGCACAAGGCACGCATGAGGCACAAGGCACGGCACGCACGAGGCACAAGGCACGGCACGCACGAGGCACGCAAGGCACGCATGAGGCACAAGGCACGGCACGCACGAGGCACGCAAGGCACGCATGAGGCACAAGGCACGCATGAGGCACAAGGCACGGCACGCACGGCACGCACGAGGCACGCACGGCATGGCACGGCACGCATGAGACACAAGGCACGGCACGCACGAGGCACGCATGGCACGGCACGCATGAGGCACGCAAGGCACGCATGAGACACAAGGCACGGCACGCACGGCACGCACGAGGCACGCATGGCACAGCACGCACGGCACGCACGAGGCACGCAAGGCACGCATGAGACACAAGGCACGGCACGCACGGCACGCACGAGGCACGCATGGCACGGCACGCATGAGGCACGCAAGGCACAGCACGCATGAGGCACAAGGCATGCACGAGGCACAAGGCACGACACGGCACGATATGGCACGCATGAGGCACAAGGCACGGCACGCACAAGGCACATGGCACACACGGCACGGCACGCACGAGGCGAGAGACAGGTTCCGTTCACGGGGCTTTCTGAGAACACGCAACGAAAACAAACACGTGCACGCGTGCCCCTCGCCATCGGCGGGCGTTTCATTGATGCTGGGTAACGTTTGACCTTCACAGGTGCCGGGTAACGTTAGACCTTCACAGGTGCCGGGTAACGTTAGACCTTCACAGGTGCCGGGTAACGTTAGACCTTCACAGGTGCCGGGTAACGTTAGACCTTCACTGGCCCTGGGTAACGTTAGACCTTCACTGGCACTGGGTAACGTTAGACCTTCACTGGCCCTGGGTAACGTTAGACCTTCACTGGCCCTGGGTAACGTTAGACCTTCACTGGTGCTGGGTAACGTTAGACCTTCACTGGCCCTGGGTAACGTTAGACCTTCACTGGCGCTGGGTAACGTTTGACCTTCACTGGCCCTGGGTAACGTTAGACCTTCACTGGTGCTGGGTAATGTTAGACCTTCACTGACACTGGGTAACGTTTGACCTTCACTGGCCCTGGGTAACGTTAGACCTTCACTGGTGGATAACGTTTGACCTTCACAGGTGCTGGGTAACGTTAGACCTTCACTGGTGGGTAACGTTTGACCTTCACAGGTGCTGGGTAACGTTAGACCTTCACTGGTGGGTAACGTTAGACCTTCACAGGTGCTGGGTAACGTTAGACCTTCACTGGTGGATAACGTTTGACCTTCACAGGTGCTGGGTAACGTTAGACCTTCACAGGTGGGTAACGTTAGACCTTCACAGGTGCTGGGTAACGTTAGACCTTCACTGGTGGATAACGTTTGACCTTCACAGGTGCTGGGTAACGTTAGACCTTCACTGGTGGATAACGTTTGACCTTCACAGGTGCTGGGTAACGTTAGACCTTCACTGGTGGATAACGTTTGACCTTCACAGGTGCTGGGTAACGTTAGACCTTCACAGGTGGGTAACGTTAGACCTTCACAGGTGCTGGGTAACGTTAGACCTTCACTGGTGGATAACGTTTGACCTTCACAGGTGCTGGGTAACGTTAGACCTTCACAGGTGCTGGGTAACGTTAGACCTTCACTGGTGGATAACGTTAGACCTTCACAGGTGGGTAACGTTAGACCTTCACAGGTGCCGGGTAACGTTAGACCTTCACTGCCGTGAGACCTTCCGCCGCGTGGAATCGCGTCATCGCCTCGGCAGAAGAGGCCATTTTATCGATATATTTTTTCGCACTGGTTTGCGTCGGCGAACTTTGCGCGAAGCTTTGATCAATTTGCCCGCCGAGGGTTTCAATCGGGTTGAGTTGCCACCCGAAGGCAGAACTTGGCACCGAAGTTTCGTTCTTATCGAGTCGCATTTCCGAGAATTCGTCGTTACGGACGGACGGACGGAGCTGACGCATTAAAGCTTTCAATGTTCGTCATAAAGCAGCGAGCGTAACGTCAGCCTCGTCAGTAACGCACTGGGGGCACCCAAATACGTTGACAGATTTCAACGACGACGATGCCGATGACGCTGCTGAAGGAACAGAAGCCTCTAGGAACAGGCCGTAATCATAGCAGAATGGTGGCGGTGATGATGCTGCTGCTGCACATAGCTGCCTGTGGTAATCCAGTACCGAGGGTTGGTGGATTGGAATCAAAATCAGTATTTATACTGCAGGAGGAATCCGATGAGCTATGAAGCTCTTGTTCATATGAGTGCAAAGTACGTGACTTTACCGAAAGAACCACGAATATGAATCCCTGCAGTCACGAAAGCTTTAAATCGAAATTTAAATCACAGAAACACGTACAAATACAACACGAAACCACGAGCTACCTGGCACACAAAATAGCGCATCATTTGGACATTCGTATCAGCAAAATAATCAAACTCATTACAACGGCGATGGGTCGGCGGATCACCGCGCAAAGTTAGCGAAGCTCCCTTGCGGCCCTGGCCGTCAAGGAGGTTCCCATACCCGTGTTCGCCAGGAGATGGCGGTACCGCAAGTGTGCACTAAACTCCATCCGTCCCATTTGCACACCGTGAGGGTTTTTCTCCGGCTGCTCCGGTTTTCCGGCCACACGTGTGAACAGTTCTAGATTTGAAGCTTTCGTGACTGCAAGGATTCATATTCTTAGGTTTTAGTCTTCTTGAAAGACGGAAGCTTGTTGTTGCCTCCGAAACGTCGCGATTTTTATTTTACTTTTATTAATTTTAATTTTTTTACCCCACGTGACTTTACCGAAAAAACCTAAGAATACGTGTAAACAACTCATTGATTGTGCCGATCGACACCTTGATCTTACGAGCCTCCGAGTGCTGTGGGAGATGCAGTTGCTTAACTGCCGCTATATTAAGACCAATGACTACGTCGTCACACTAATAATGATCAAATGTGAGCGTCGATCCAACAAAAATGTTACACAACAACACAAATCAGGTCTCGGTCCGCCGATATAATCAGCCAGGGTCAATCCACTGCTGGATGAAGGCCCCCCCCCCCCCCGCTAGCCACCGCTGCCACCAATTCTCACGAGCCCTGCACCGTAACGATCCACCCGGCGCGCCGGCTGAAAGCGCCACGGGCCGATTGCTCCATCCTCAAACCAAACAATAAACAAACAAAACATTGGAGATTTGAAGCTTTCGTGACTGCAAGGATTCATATTCTTAGGTTATTTCGGTAAAGTCACGTAGGTAAAAAATTTAAATTAATAACTGAAGACGCAAGCTTGTGTTGCCTCCGAAACGTCGTGATTTTTATTTTATTTTTATAAAATTTTTGACCTACGTGACTTTACCGACAAAACCTAAGAATAGAAAAACATTGGAGATTGTTCCCTTGCCCCGTGTACACGGTCTGTACGTGTGTATATCTGTATGCTGAACTTCCTTTGCACCGTACGTAGCCAACCGCGCTCATTAGAGGTGTGGGAGAAGGACAACAAACTAAACACTAAAAGCAGTTCTAAAGAAATCAGTTCGTCAGTCTGGATGATTTAAAAGTGCCGTAGCTCCCAGCGGCTTCCCGATGTCGGAAGGAGGAGCGCGTTCCAGACGGCCGCGGATGCAGCGCGTCTGAAAGCGCCGGGCGATGCGGTGACCGGCGTTTTTGTTCGATGGCTACGCAAAAAGCCGCCGCTGCTACCGCTGCTGCTGCTGCCGCTACTGCTGCTGCTGCCGCTGCTGCTGCTGCTGCTGCCGCTGCCGCTGCCGCTGCTGCTGTTGTTGCTGCTGCCGCTGCCGCTGCTGCTGTTGTTGCTGCTGCTGCTGCCGCTGCTGCTACTGCTGCTGCTGTTGTTGCTGCTGCCGCTGCCGCTGCCGCTACTGCTGCTGCTGTTGTTGCTGCTGCTGCTGCCGCTGCTGCTGCTGCTGTTGTTGCTGCTGCTACCGCTGCTGCTGCTGCTACTGCTGCTGCTACTGCCGCTGCTGCTGCTGCTGTTGTTGCTGCTACTGCCGCTGCCGCTGCTGCTACTGCTGCTGCTGTTGTTGCTGCTGCTACCGCTGCTGCTGCCGCTGCTGCTGCCGCTGCTGCTGCTGCTGCCGCTGCTGCTGCTGCTACTGCTGCTGCTGCTACCGCTGCTGCTGCTACCGCTGCTACTGCTGCTACTGCTGCTGCTGCTACCGCTGCTACTGCTGCTACTGCTGCTGCTGCTACCGCTGCTACTGCTGCTGCTACTGCTGCTGCGACTGCTGCTGCCGCTGCTGCTGCTGCTACTGCTGCTGCTGCTACCGCTGCTACCGCTGCTACTGCTGCTGCTGCTACTGCTGCTGCTGCTACTGCTGCTACCGCTGCTACTGCTGCTGCTGCTACCGCTGCTACCGCTGCTACTGCTGCTGCTGCTACTGCTGCTGCTGCTACCGCTGCTACCGCTGCTGCTGCTACCGCTGCTACTGCTGCTACCGCTGCTACTGCTGCTGCTGCTACTGCTGCTGCTGCTACCGCTGCTACCGCTGCTACTGCTACCGCTGCTACTGCTGCTACTGCTGCTGCCGCTGCTGCTGCTGCTACTGCTGCTGCTGCTACCGCTGCTACTGCTGCTGCTGCTACCGCTGCTACTGCTGCTGCCGCTGCTACTGCTGCTG